CCCTCCCCCCGCCAGCCCTGGCTTTTTCTCTCTGCCCCCCAAACCCTAACCTCTCCCCCCAGCTGCAGTGCATGCCAGGCCCGGCTCTAACCCTGGCAGCCAGGGAGGTGCAGGGCTGCCTGCCTGCCCCGCGTGGGGCGCAGTGCGGCACAGGTAGTGCCGTGTGCACGTGGGGCTCCGGGGTGCTGCAGCCTGTTGAGGTGGGGGAAAGCAGCAGCATGGGGGGCGCTGGCCCGACTCTCCCCCGCAGTCCCACCTGTGCTGCCACCGCCCCAGCCCTGCCTGCAGAGCCCAGGGCCTCCCATCTGCCCAAGGAGAGTGGAAGGGAAGGAGCAGACAAGTCGGTGTGGCGGCTCCCCTGGGTGGCTCAGGGGTGCTCTGGCAGCCGCGGTAAGTGCAGCTGCTGGGCAGGGGGTGAGTTTCCGAGGGGACAACTGGACTCTGGGCAGTCAGGCACTGCGCTCTGGCTTCCCAGGAGCCTGGTGTTGGGGGAGCCCCCAAGAGCCCGCTGCTGGCACATAAGCCCGGCTGGGAGCCCTGCTCCTAGCACCTGTCCCCAGGCTGCTGTCCCAAGCACAGTACCCCACTCCCTGCTCCTAGTCTGTCACGGCTGTGATGTGGGGTCTGCCGGCTACTTTGCCACGTTTCTTGGCATTGAAAGCCCTATGGGGTGGAGGTGGTGGAAGGGGAGTCGGGTCTTGGTTTGAAATAGCAATTCCACGTGGCAAGAGGGAGCTGCGAGGTCAGGCTCGAGCTGAGGCAGGGGGGAGGGGCAGAAAGAGGGAGGAGGCAGGCGGGACACAAAGCGATGTTATGACGTCCCTCTGTCATCCCGCAAGAAATTTTGTTTTTAATATTGATATGCGGGGGAAGGGTGTGTGTGGGAGAGAGAGTAATAAAATATACATTCATCTAATGTGGTCATCCATGCTGTATTTCCTGTTTCAGGCATTAACTGCATCTGCCCATTCAGTTTTACATCATGGAATACCACTGCAGGCAGGAACTGCTCAGTTTGGTTGTAATGATGCTTTTCAACAGGCACTGATTATATGCCCCCCACCCATCCAAGGTAGGATTAACTGAAATAGTTTCAGTTTCTGAATTTTGAGAAGCAGCAGATATTATTGGAGTAGTTTAATGATAATTTTCCAATAAATGTTTTCTGAGAAATTTACAATTCTGCTATAAAAAGCTCCCCAGATTTGAACTATTTGAACTACTCCCAGCCCACTCTTGCACCCTCTTCCCTGGCCAGACACCCGGCCCTCAGCCTGCTGGTGCACCCTCCCATCCTCCTGCCTCTACCCCTCTGACCAGACACCCTACTCCCAGCCTGCTCCTGCACCCTACCTCCCACACAAACCTCACACTCTCACCCCCTCCTATACCCCACCTCTTGCTCAAATCCTGCTCCCCCATTCCTATCCCATTCACTGGCAGGTCTACATCAGTGATATAGACATAGCATGAAAAATGAGCTGTCTGTTTAAAAAAATCTCATCAGTGTTTGCATTTTGCTCAAGTTATATCCTCGTCTTTGGTTTAAAGCGGGTATGATTCATTTGTTCTTCCTCTTTCCCATAGGAATTCCTACAAACCATTGTAAGCCTACTGGTTACTCACTGAGGATAGATAATACGGTTCCATTGGTGACACAAGCCCCTGCCATACAGCCACTACAGATCCGAGCAGGAATCTTTTCTCAGGTTGGTATAGCTGAATGTATGTGTGTTTGAAATGGCTATTACAAATGTGCATTTCTAAAGATTGTTTGATGTGGGGGATCTGCAGCGCAGGGACCTGATCCTCCTTGCTGCTTCGTTTCACCTGGCCCATAGCAAGTCCCTGTGCAACAGGTGGGAAGCCCTGAGTGTTGTGCCTCCCCCTTGTTCTCTGAGGCGCGGACTAGCTTGCCAGCACGTCCCTGCCACCCCTAGGCAGAGCAGTGATCAGGGAAGCTCCGTGAGCTGCCCCACCCCCAGTGCCAGTTCTGCAGCTCCCTTTGGCGAGGAGCCATGTACAGTGGGAGCTTCAGGGACAGGGCTTGTGGGCGCAAGCAGCATGCACCTCACAGAGTTGCCTGGTCCCTTCATCTGGGGGGCAGATATGGCACTGGCTTTGGGGAGCAGCACAGAGTCAGGGCAGGCACGGAGCCTACCATAGGTCTGCTGTGCTGCCGAACGGTGCAGGGGAGGGAAGAGGGGGAAAGGGGGGTTGACGTAACCACCACCCAGGTGAAGCCCACACCTTGAATTCAATATTGCCCCCACCAACTTCCTGCCCTAGGTTGGAACCCTACCCTGCACCGTGACTCCCACTCAGACCCTGCATCCCTACCCACGCCCCCACCCCTGAGCCTCCTCCTGCACTGAAACTACCTTCCAGGGCCCACACCCCTAACCTCCTTCTGCTTCCCAGACTCCTGTCTCATCCCTAGCCCCACCCAGAGCCTTTGCCCCCTCCTGCATCCAAACTGTCTATCCCAGCCTGGAGCATCCTCCCACACTTGAACCCCTCTTTTCTGGCCCCACTTCAGAGCCTCAAGGAAGCCCCAAACTTCTACATCATTCCTCCCACCCCCATGGAGCTATGTGTGGCCTCTGACTGATTTATTTTCTATGGGCCAGTAGCCTCTGATGGAAGAAAGGCACCCCAACCCTGCCTTGAAGTAGTCCATTTAGATAACGTTTTTGTATTTATGCTGAGTTCTGAACAGCTGTTATAAATACTGGCTCTTTGCTACTTAATTGAAATCTGCTTTTCCTCACAACAGCCATGGTCTAATCGAACTCAGCAAATATTGGTTCCTGCTTGGCAACAAGTAACACCTGTGGCGGCTCCTACTTCAACACTAGCCTCTGATGCTGTGGCTGGTCCACAGAGATTTGGAGACTGGGGGTAGGTCCAAAACATTTTGTATAATGTTTTTGTAGGACGTCTGTATAACAGAGAATATGCATCTGCATTGAAGTGTTTACATGTAGTGACTCTCCTATTCTCTCCTTAGGAAAATGATTCCTCATGGCAGCCATTACAATACAGTGATGCCACAGCCTCTCTTAACCAATCAAATAACTTTGTCTGCCACTCAGCCGATTAGTGTGGGCATTGCACATGTAGTCTGGCCACAGCCTGCAGCTACCAAGAGAAATAAACTGTGCCAGAACAGGTTGGTAAAATGTCTTTCATTTAGGATAGATGTTGAGATTATAGCTTTTCAGTCTTTTGTACAGTGGGAAAGAGGGACTAATGCATGCTCACTGCAGTCGTTACCAGGGCTCGACAAATAATACAATCTACTCGCCCATGGTGAGTAGATTGCAACCCGGAAGAGCTGGGTTTGGGTGATCTGCGTATGTGTAGAACGATCTGCGCATGCGCAGATCTCTGGACAGCACGGCTGGCGAGCAGGGCTCGCCGCGGTTCGGCAAGCCCTGGTCATTACTGTACTCAAACTGTCCAGTTGCCCCTTATTAAAAATAAACACCTGGCTAGCTACCTTGTTAGTTTCTTTGAGATATTTTGGAAATATGATGAGACATGAAATGAAAATCGACTTTTTTACTTTCGATCTAGTCTCTGCCTGTGATAGTAGCAGCTTTGTAAATGTATGTGCTTAAATGGCCTTTGACAAGTGTATTGAGACCATCCTAATTAAATGCTCCTGAACCTGTGTGCATGAGAACTCATCAGGTTCAAAGAATTAATCATAAAGAGAAATTATGTAATAGTGGTTGCAATATGACTAGACTAGTATTAAGAGTAGTCTTTCTTTTGCTGGCAGCGAGAAACACGTTAGCTGCTCACTGGAGAATATGTGCTCCATCACTACAAAAGTGGTTTGCAAAGGTCTGAGCTATTCTAGTACCACAGAACCAAGGCTATGAAGAACAAGTATGATAGTGGTTATACTACTGGACTCCTTTTCTAGTGTTTGGTAAAGCCAGATGTCATCCAAAGTGCATTGGTGTCAGTGAGAATCTTTCCAGTGAATCAAGACTAAAATGTCTGCTGTGCCAAGCTAGCATGTTTTCATTCCTTCTTTCCTTTATGAAAGAATGATACTTTTAGCATGTTGAATTACGTTTGTTGGTAAACCCAGCCTTGGATCTTATGGTGCAGCATCCAGAACAGCCCTGCTTGCTATTTGCAGTACATAACTGGAAGATTTGCCATTATTGTTAAGGAATACCACCTATGCAATGTATTTAGCTGTATCTTCCCTGGCTTAGGTTTTACTCTCTAATTTTATTCTTGGATGTATAAAAATGATGATTTTGTCTACTTGGCTTTTTAAGTTGTGGGGAGGATGTTACATAGATTCTACTAAATGTCTAATGAGATATCTTCTTCACAGGAGTAATGTGTTACAAAATACCAATATCCAAAATTCAGCATTTATATCTCCAAAGATAATTAATCTGAAGGCTGTCAGGAGAGTAAATTGTATAGAAGCACAGGACAATCATAATTCAGGAGGACAGCAAAGGAATTGTTGCAAAACATCTGTCAGGCAGGATCTTGATTCATCTGTTTCAAACAAACAGCGCCAGGCTATCGTCATTGCAGAGTCCCCAAGTCCTGCAGTCAGCGTGATCACCATCAGTAGTGACACAGATGAAGACGACGCAGGACAAAGGCATTCACTAAAAAAGTAAGAGTTTATAAATATGTCTAGGTATATTCAACTGTTACCATACTAAGAAATGTGCAGTGATTACAACATCTACTAGTTCAAGTACAGCAGGTAGGCAGTATTTGATTTTAGACACAGTGGCTGTCAAATATGTTTCCAACTGAATTTTGGTAGAAGAGGCAACTTCTTTTGGAGATGAAGGGCTACTTGTAAAATCCTGTTTAGCAGTGCTATGCAAGCTTTACAACTTTACAACTAAAGACTGAAAGTTTATTCTTTATAATGGTAGATAAATTTGTTAAAGTTAGAAAATTAGCTGCTCGTCGGTATAGCATGTTCATTGATTTTTTTTTATTAATATTGGCTTGCACTGTTCTGTAGCATGACATGAGTCTGTGTATGAAATTGGATATTAAGTATAGGTAATAGAAATGTCATCCTAAGATGATTATAAATTATTCCATATTAAATTACTGTCAATCAGAGAAAATATGTAATTTTATTTTAATGCATTTACACACCTTATAGCTGTGAATTAGGTGCTTTTCCTTAAACATGAGGCTGTGAATGTGAAACTCGTAAACAGACAAATAGAAGATAAAAAAATTAGGGACCTATATTGAAAATATGAATGTAGTATGTATACAGTTTATATAACATTAATTGTTCATTTTTTGCACATTCCTTGTGCACACAAACCATAGATTCAGCACACAAAAAACTCATTTCCATATGTACATTAAGTGCAAATAAGGGTGTGTGTGTGTGTGCGTGCGCGTGCACACGCCACCATTTATTTTTGGTAATGGTAGGGAAACTTGACAATATTTTTGTTTGCAGTTTTGACAATTAATATAGATTTCTCCCCTCCCCAGCCCCCAATTGTTTAACTATTTGTATTTTTACAGTAGCAGGAAGTTAAAGGGGGACAGAGTTGGGTTAGTGCCACACTGAGAGTGAGGCTGTGCAAGGCACTCTGCGTGGCTGAGGGGCTGAAGTCATTCTGGTACAAGGTGCATGGAGGCTGCAGTCTTGGCCCAGCAGAGCAGAGACTGCCCCCATCCAGTACTGCATGGAGGACGATGAGACTGGCTTAGGGAATGCCACCCTGTTACAATTGCAAGGCTGGCAATACCAGATTCCTGCAGTCATTTGGTCAGGGGAAGTCAGTGGCCCTGTTGGGTCAGAGCAGAAACCGCCAGCAAGGATCAGGAACAGAATGATGAATACATGGCTGCAGGGGAGGCCACCCTGTTACTGAATGGCTCCTACCCGGGAACAGAGCTATGAAGCCACAGGGTGACCTCCCTCATGACCAGGGGCCCATTCTGCTAGAAAGCCTGGCTGGGGGAGAAGGTCTTTGCTCTGATCCATGATGTCTACAACATTCCTCACATGAGGAATGGCCAGAGCCATGAGTGTCCAAGAAGCCCTCTGCAAGTCTGTTGTCCTGGCCCCACTCACTTTTACAAAGGCAGGTTGCATAGGACTCTGATTCCTGCAGGTGCATGGTACAGATGGGAGGCTGGACTTGCATCCTTAGTTACCAGTGTATAGTTGTTGTGGTTGTTGATTTCAGTGTCAGCTGAAACCAATATTTACCAGCATCTATCTGATTAAATCTAATCGTGCCAAGCCCAGTGGCAGCGTACAGAAAATTGAATTTTCTGTGGGTCTATTTCTATGCACATACACATTTAGTTCATGTTTCTCAACAGTTCAGGGTGCCACTCAGCTTAAACTGGTTCTAACAGAAGATGTGTGTCTAAATACCCTGGACTGCTTTAAACATCTCTTTCATGCTTGCATCCACACATTGCCTACTTATGCCATATTTCATTTTCATTGCGTATTGTGGAGAATGAGAGAAGAATCAGCTACTTCTATGGCAGAGATGGAACAGAGTTGTTTTTGTTGTTGTTTTTTATAAATTACACAGGCCCATAGTCTACAGTCCTTCATAAAACAAAATTCCCAATGAAGCTAGCAGAAGATTCACTTGAGTAAAAACTGCAAGATTTGGTCTGGGCTATGGCAAAAATGTTTTACTTTTAGTGCCTAAAGTTCATAATTCATATTTAGGCACCAAAATAAAAATAACCTGATTTTTCAAATGTGTTGTGTATCTGCAGGACATTGTGGGTGTTCACAAATTCTGAACTTTGTAATTTTTTGAACTTTTTACGTAAGTGTCTAAATATGGATTCAGGAGCCTTACTTTAACTTTCAGCGTTTAAGAATTATGGTTAAAATTTCCAAAAAATTAAATTAAATTATCCTCAAAAAATTAAATTATCTATGAGGCGAATGCTCAACAGGAATAAGAATAATTTCTTTTTTTATCTTTCAGGTAGTAGGCCCCATTCCAGTGCAAAACCTATGTCTGTATTACTTTTAAGGTTAGCTGTGTAGAAGGAATGAATGCCATGCCAAATGACAGGCAGTATGTATTTTTGTGTTAATATTTTCTTTTGTTTCAGATGTAAAGGTAACCTAGATTGTGAAGCTTGCCAGAGCACTATGAATATTGACCAAGTGTGTTCATTAAGCAGCCCTGACAGCACTTTGAGCACCAGTTCCTCTGGCCAGTCTAGTCCATCTCCTTGCAAGAGACCCAACAGGTAAAAAGTTATGTGTACTCCAGGAGCCTGCTTTTAGTGAAACTTCTGACATTTTTAGTTTATTGTATTTTGCTTTGTCTGATTTCTCTCTTTCACAGGGTAATTTAGATTTTGAAAAAAAATTACATTATTCTAAGAGATGTATATGCTTGTTAATGATATATATTTATGCATTATAGCTAGTTTATTAATTGTTCCTTATAAATGGAGTTCATCTTATTGAATGGCTTCATAGTGTTGAACTGAATGGAAGTAATGTATATATCATGTAAAAAAAAACCTCAAAATTAAACACACATAACTCAATTAGAAGAATGTTGATTTCAAAGTTGGACTCAAAAAAGTTGGGAAATGCCGGAATTAAGTAACCTTAATACACAGACCTTTATGCACATCCTTTATAATAGAGTCCTTAATTACATGATAGGCCTCAATTGTAGTATTGTGACCAGTTCTGGGAACTCAAGAAAGATGTGGAGAAATTGGAGAAGGTCCAGAGAAGAGCAACAAAAATGATCAAAGGTCTAGAAAACATAACCTGTGAAGGAAGACTGAAAGAATTGTGCTTGTTTAGTTTGGAAAAAAGAAGACTGAGAGGGGACATGATAGCGGTTTTCAAATAGGATTTGAAGTAAAAGGGTGTTATAAGGAGGAGGGAGAAAAATTGTTCTCTTTGGCCTCTGAGGACCAAAAGGACCCTCAAATTTAGGACAAGAAGCCATGGGCTTAAATTGCAGCAAGGGAGGTTTAGGTTGGACATCAGGAAAAACTTCCTGCCTGTCAGGGTGGTTAAACACTGGAATAAATTGCCTAGGGAGGTTGTAGAATCTCCATCACTGGAGATATTTAAGAGGAGGTTAGATAGAGACCTGTCAGGGATGATCTAGACGGTGCTTGGTCCTGCTGTGAGGACAGGAGACTGAACTTGATGACCTCTTGAAGTCCTTTCCAGTTCTAGTGTTCTAGGTTTCTATGATCACATACTATTTTCTCCATAGTGCATGCCTCATTAAGTGCACAGAATGGATGTTGCTCAGTTAGTGAGCACATATTTTTATTTTCTTGTTGTTCAGTGTTTGGCCCCATGACATACTTACATCACATTTTTTAAACCCTTCTCTGAAGACAGAATTATTAATTTCTTCATGGCAGTTTCTGTAACACTCATCGCGATAGCAGCTGAATGTTTCACAAACATTAGTTTATCTTCATATCATCCCTATGAGATAAGATGGCATACAAGATCGAAAGTTTCTACTGACTTTGGGTGCCTGAAGTGACATCTACGTCCTGACTTTTTCAAGTACTTAGCATTTTACAGCACTTTATATGTTCAAAGCACAATTTGTGTTGATTTAGCAGCAGCTGCGAGTGCTCAGCAGTTCTGCAAATCAGACCCAGGATCTCCAGCCAGGTACCCAGAAAACTAGAAACACGCAATCCAAGATCACCTTTGAAAAGTTTGGCTTAAGTGACTTGCCCATCCTTGTGTAGGAAATATGTGGCAGAGGCAGAGAGAGAATCCAGTTCCTCTTCAAGTGCTTACTCATGTTCATTCCACGCATGCTATATATATTGGCGCTGGAAGCTTTTTCCTCAGTGATATCCATAGGGTACTAGCTCTGGTGCCCTCTAGAGTGGTGTGCACATGGAGCAGTGGGATAAGGGACGCTGCAGGCTCTCTCCCACCCCACTCTCACTTGCCAACAGTAGCAGTGCTGGAATGCCTGCTGCTTCAGCAAGCCTTTTTGCTTTGCTCTGGGTTACAAAGTTTCCTTGAAAAACAATTATTCACCAATGTGTTAGTGCGTGGTTGTCAGTTCTCCCTAACCATGACTCAGCCTAGAGACAGGGCATGCCCCGATCCCAAGGCTGTAAGCATCCTATGCCTACCAGTGCCCTGCACAGTAGTTATCTGAGGTGTTTGGGCAAGGAATACATAAGCAACAAGTGCAGCATTTGTAAATCATCCAAGCCTGAGATGAAAAAAGAGAGACATCTATCTTAGGGCTCTCCTGATGGAGTCAGTCCTAACACCAGCGCCGGAGCGGAAGTCCAACCTCCGCATCATGTGGCGTACCCCTCGGGTGCTGTCTACAAGCTGGCACCGACCCAAGGCTCTGGCCAAGAAGCTGAAGAGGTTCATGAGGAGAAGATTTCCTACTTCCAGTGAGGGAAAAGAGAGGGCTGGAGGAGAGCTGAGACCTATGACGAGCAGCTTGGCACCTCCATCTGGGAGTTGGGTCCCAGCTTAAGTCAAGCAGGCTAGCCCATCCTGTGCCACATTTGCCACAGTGGTTAGTGAAGAGGGACTCCCATCATTTAAATGTCCCATGGGCTTGTGAGACACTGCAGGCAGGGCAGGAATTCCTAACACTGCTTGGACCACCCATGTTGGCTCAGGCAGTACCCCAGTCCAAGGGTAAACTGGCCTGGGGACCTTCCCAGGTGTTCCCACCTCAGCGACTCTGTTCCCTATCATAGGGGATATCGTTCCAGTGCTCTCCCACATGGTGCCATCACAGCTTGGAAGTTGGGAGACAGGCTCAGCAAAGCCTTCTCCAGTCCCTGAACAATGGGCACTGACAATGCAAGAAGCCTGCAGTGTAGACATAGCCTCAGAGGAGCAGGCCTGCTCTACAGAGGTCTAGCAAATCCTCTTGGAAAGCAGGAAGCTTTCCACAAGAGAAACCTACCCGGTAAAGTGGACAAGGTTCTCCCACTGGAATCGTGTCTCTCCATCGCGCTCCTCCTTACAATCCTCCTTCGATTACTTACTTCATCTTCAGAACTTGGAACGTGGCCCTCTCTTCCAGCAGAGTGCATCTTGCAGCCTTCTCTGCTTTCCACCCACCAGTTCAAGGTCAAACAGTGATTTTGCACAACACCTCTGTCCCATTCCTGAGGAGCCTTGAGAGACTTCTGCCAGCCTGGCTCCTGTCCCACAGTGGGAATTTAATGTGGCTCTTAAGAGACTCATGGGGCTGCCCCTTGAGTTTATGGGCTCCTGCTTCCTTTACCACCTGTCATGAAAGGTCACTTTTCTTGTGGTGCTAACATCGGTGAGATAAGTATTGGCACTTAAAGTTTTGACACCAGCCATACGTATACAGTGTTCTACAAGAACAAAGTTCAACTGTGTCCCCATCTGGTCTTGCTGCTAAAGGTTGTGTCTTCCTTCTGTGTGAACCAGGACATCTTCCTCCCGCTGTTTTGTCCGAGCTGCATGCTGCTAGAGGAAAAGAGGCTGCAAGCCTTGGATATCAAACGTGGCCAAACCCTTGTGCCTATGAACCCAATTCTTCATTGCAACAGTGGACAGGATGAAGGGTTTGCTGGTGTCCTTGCAGAACATTTCCAACTGGATCACCACTTGTATCGGGACCTGCCACACACTGGCACAGGTCCCACCACTGCCAATTGTGAAGGCCCATTCAACCACAGCTCAGGCATCCTTGACAGCCTTCCTGCTGTTCATTCCCATCCAGGACATCTGAAAAGCTGCAATGTGGTCTTCAGATCACACCTTCAAGGTGATATATCCCATCACTCAGCAGGCCAGAGCTGACGATGGTTTGGCAAAGCAGTATTACAATCTACACGTCTGTGAACTCTTCCCTGCCTCAGTTGGTACTGTGTGGGGGTTACCTAATATGGAGTGGACACAAGCAAGCACTCGAAGAAGAAAAGAGTTCCCTTTTTCCGTAACCGGTGCTCTTCGAGAATGGTCTCATGGTTAAGGCTGTTGAACCCTAGCCTGGAAAAAAAAGACACTTCTCTTTTGCCATAATCGGTGCTCTTTAAGATGTGTTGCTCATGTCCATTCCATGCCTCCTTTCTTCCCCACTGTCAGAGTTTCTGGCAAGAAGGCACTAAGGATGGGGAGAGCTGGCAGTGCCCCTTACACCCTAGCTTGTGTGTGCTAGTCCAGAGAGCATTAGGACTGTCCCCAACAGATACTACTGAGGGAGAAACTTCTGGCACTGCTGCATGTGGCAAGCATACGCACCTGCTATGGAATGGACATCAGCAACACATCTCAAAGAGCACTGGTTATGGCAAAAGAGAAATGTCTTTTTTTTCCAGGCTAGGGTTCAACAGCCTTAACCATGAGACCATTCTTTCTCTGCCTGAAGTCCCCTGCCTTATCTCACACCTCACTCCATTTATATACACCTTCTGACTTCCACAGCAAACAGCAGCGCCTCATTCACTATCCAACTCTGACGTGCTCATGGAAAATGCTCCGTCCTATGCAGTGACTGAGCCATGGGCACATTATGTGTTGTGGGGGGAGTAACCATGTAATGAATAAAAGGATCATAATGTGCATAGACAAGGGAAAATAATTAAGGTTCAGAATTGCTTGTTGTTAAGCTTGTATGTAAGAGCTTTGCCAGATCAGCGCCTTACTCAGCAAATCAGAGTTCTCAAGTTTTCCTAGATGAATTCTTAAAAATAAATGAACTCGTGCCCATCTCTCAATGATGAACACATCCAGCTACCACACAGATGGGTGCTATAGATGAGCTTACTCACAATCCCTTACCACTTATTTAGATTGTACAGCTCTTTGGGGGGGCAGATAATGTTTTCTACCATGTGTTGGCACAGTGCCCCACATGCAGGTGGGGATGCTAAGCACCACTGCAGCATAAATAATTGTGTGAATTTTTACATTTACAATTTACATTTAAAATGAAATGAGTTTCCTGTCCCCAGTGCCTCACTGCTTGATCTCCCCTACGCTGCATGAAGTACCTGGCTTTGGCTCCATGGTTTTGCTGTGGTTTTGCTTAGCTGCTCCTGAGTCTTGATGGTTCTTCTCTGATTGGCATCAACAGGCTTCCCTACCTTGTTTCATGCTCGCACATGCATTTTGGTTTCAGTAAGCAGTAGATGTCTCTATAGAGAGTGGCACCTCCACCACCGCTCATTGCCAGCTACTTTCAAGATGAACCTTTTTTAAAAAGAGCCATGCATCAGGTGTTCAGCATATATGCTACGTCCCACCAGCAAATGTTCTACAGACTATAGTTGAGAATGGGGCTGTGCTTTGCTTCGTAACCTAAATATTGTCAAAATAATCTGTCATACCTACATGGCTGGCCACACTCTCTGTAAAATGAGGCAGTGCCTGTCTATGTAATCTATTTCAGTATTGTTCCCCTCAATTGGTTGATCCAACAATAACTAGCTACTGTTGGTAGGAGTGTTCTCCTGGCTTCTCTCCTGTAACTGTGCGTCTCTGTGGGGAAGGAGACAATTGCGCAGTCTTTCTAGGCCTGTGGCTTGTTTTTAGAAGCACATTTTCTTTTCTTTATAAAGTAGTTCCTCCTCTGCTTATGGCATGATCACCATGGGGAGGCTTTTAGTCTTTAAATTAGGAAGAAAATGAGGCAATTAGCATGCATGTATGTGTTGGGAATACAATTTAAAACTAAGTATAGATTTAAGGGATTTATTAGAGCAAGGTTATGTGCAACTCCTCATAATCCTTGCCTCTTTCTTTTAACAAAGTAACTGCCGCTTCATGCTCGCAATGTTAAGGCTGAAAGATGAGTTTAGACTTTTAACTTCCATTTCAATTCCCATCTTGAGCAGTTTTAACTTTAGACAATTAACAGAACTCACATGTATTTTTCCCTGCATTTTGTTAAAAAAAAAACATTTTAGGTAAATGTTTTATGTCTTACATTACAAGAATGCTAATGGCAGAACACACTTCTTATAACTCTGTATTTTTAATAGCATGTCAGATGATGAACAAGAGAGTGATTGTGATACTGTGGATGGTTCCCCAACTTCAGACTCCTCAGGACATGGCAGTCCATTTGTAGAAAGCAGTTTTGAAGACAACCACAATCAAAATACAGAAACCAGAAACTCAGTTAACCCTGAAACCAAACCTGTGGTCTGCGCTGTTGTGGTGCCACCAATGAGAGTAGAAAACAGATTAAATGTAGATGAGCACATGGCAAATACAGGTAAACTATTGTCATTGATCTTCTCTTTTATAATAATGCGTAAATCAGAATTTGAGGAGTCTATTGGATAGAATATGCACCAAACATCAGATTTAAGCTACTTCCCTCTTTTATTTCAGCATGTATTATACCTAAATTATTAAATCTTAATAATAAATTATTTTTAAAATATTTTGTAAGTGTCTTGGTTTACTATTTTGCAGCTATTTCTAGTTGAAATAATTGAAGTTTTGCCATGGTACTAGTATTTGATTTTAATTGTCTAAACTATGCCCCGGTTAAATCTTGCCAGATGATGCATGCCAGCCACTGATAAAAGGACGATCTGTCCCTGGAAAAATAAACCAGCTGCCTGCTATGGGTAACCGTCAGCAAAAAATGACATCCGCATTCCATCAGCAACCTGTACATTTCAGCCAGGTACGTGTGCTCGTTTACAGCTCAAAAGTCAAACCTCTTTTACTGTCTTAAGGTTCTAGGGCCTGATTTTCAAAAGTGCTGGATGTCCACCATACTGCACTAAATGGGAGTTGTGGCTCCTATACACATTTGAGAAATGAGGCCCCAAGTCAGTAAAAGTATATGCCTGATATCTGCAATAAAGCTGCTGACAGCATGAAAATGGTCTTTTATAGCTTATTCTGCAAGTCAGAAATATCCTCCACCTTGTCCTTAAATTAGCAACCATGTTTGGAAAGATGATGGAAAAACAGAACCGGAAAAATTAATTAGGTTTAGTAGAAAGCCTGAGACAAAATCATATATTAGGGCTGCCAGTTCCTCACTGAAGCTGTTCCAGGAGATTTTTTTTTCCAACATGACATCATGTCATTTTCTTAAAATATCATATTAAAATGTCCTTGGTTGCTTTCAGTAGTCACTGGGAGATGGATGCCAATTCTGGGAGACTCCAGGCCCATCCTAGATGGTTGGCAACCATATCATGTACACTTGACCACTTTTCCTTCTTCCAAATAGTGAAATATGTGTACCGTGGAGTTAAAAATGTGGGGCCCTATTTTCAGTCTTGTTCTACCTATTTTGTGCTTCACCAGTGGCACAGAACAACTGTTGGTCTAGCTGCAAATGCTTTGAGTTAAGGGGAAACCCAGAATATAGTAGAGCTGATGCACCCAGCTGTGATTCACTCCCTCCCTTGCAGGGTCATCCTTAGAATTTATGGGACCCTACACAACCCTTCCCCTCCAGCGCTACATGTATAACTTGTTCCTGCCCCCTAGCCCACGGCCTCCTGTGCTCTCCCCATGGAATGTTACCTGGGGGAGTCAAGCCGAGAGAGAGTTATAAATGCCTCACCTGGCTGCTGTGGAGGCTCAGGCGACCTGTGGAGACAATCAGGGTACGTCTACACCACAACGTTAATTCGAACTAACTTAGTTCGAATTAGTTAATTCGAACTAAGCTAATTCGAACTAACGGATCTAGACTAAAAAACTAGTTCGAATTAGCGTTTCACTAATTCGAACTAGCATGTCCACATTAAGTGGACCCTGAACCAGGCTTAAGGATGGCCGGAAGCAGTGCCGGCAGGGCATCAGAGGAGGACTTAGAGCATGGAGATGCTGTCTCAGGCTAGCCGAGGGCTGCGCTTAAAGGGTCCCGACCCCCACCCCGGACAGACAGTTCTCAGGGGTGCCCCGCTTGCAAAGCAGTCCTGGCTTGGAGTGCCCGGAGTACCCACACTGGGCACATCACAGCACTCGGCCATCAGCCCGGCTGCACTTGCCGCAGGCTGCCATCTGGGGAGAGGGGACAATCGGGGGGCTGCAGGAGAGGTTCCACCCCCAGAAGCCCACAGAGCCAGCCCAGTCCTCCCCATCGGGGGCTCGTGCCCCATTCCTCCCTCACCTCCTTCCACTTACCCTTCCCTAGCCCCTCTTCTTGATGTACAAAATAAAGATAACGTGTCTTCCAAAATGGAATCTGTCTTTATTGAACAAAACTGGCGGAGACTGGGAAAAGGAGATGAGAGAGGGGAAGAGAGAGGCTGGGAGAGGGGAGGGCAACTAAAATGATCAGGTGTTGGGAACAGGTTCCAGATGAAGAGAGGCTAAAGAGACTGGGACTTTTCAGCTTAGAAAAGAGGAGACGGAGGGGGGACAGGATAGAGGTCTCTAAAAGCAGGAGTTGGGTGGAGAGGGTGCATCCAGAAAAGTTCTTCATTAGTTCCCATAAAGAAGGACTAGAGGACACCAAAGGAAAGGAATAGGTAGCAGGCTTCAAACTAGTAACAGAAAGTTGTTCTTCACAAAGCAAAGAGTCAGCCTGTGGAACTCCTTGCTGCAGGAGGCTGTGAAGGCTACAACTAGAACAGAGTTTAAAGAGAAGTGAGAGAAAGTCATGGAGGTTGGGTCCATGGAGTGCTATTTGCCAGGGGGTAAGAGTGGTGTCCCTGCCCAAGGTTTGTGGAAGGCTGGAGAGGGATGGCACGAGACAAATGGCTTGGTCACTGTCTTCGGTCCATCCCCTCCAGGGTCCCTAGGGTTGGCCGCTGTTGGCAGACAGGCTACTGGGCTAGATGGACCTTTGGTCTGACCCAGGACGGCCATTGTAAGCTCAGGGCTCAGGGTCGGGGGTCTCAGTGGACCCCCTTGATTTTCATGCACACCTGCTCCTGAGTGGCCAGGCTGGCAGCTCTCCTGCCCAAGCCGGCCACTTTCCTGTGCCTAGTGCGGAGATTGTGGACAAGGTCCACGATCTCCGCACTAGCCCAGGCGGGTGCCCACCTCTTGCAGTCCCAGGCAAGCTCCCGGGAGCCGCCAGCCTGGTCCCGGGAAGAGGGGGAGGGCTGGGGGGCATCGGGTGGGTGGCTCGATCTGTGCCAGGTGCAGGGTCTGCTGGCTGGGTGCTGGCAGGCTTGCACCTGGCACGGGCACCGTAGCCAGCCCGTGCACCTTTAAGGGGTCAGGGGCCGGGAGGGGGGCATAGAGTTTCCCTGGTGTTGGCCAGAGTGGCCACCAGGGAAAGCTGGGGAGGGCTAGCCTCCCACTAGTTCGAATTAAGGGTCTACACAGCCCTTAATTCGAACTAGTAAATTCGAACTAGGCTTAATCCTCGTGGAATGAGGATTACCTAGTTCGAACTAAGTGCTCCATTAGTTCGAATTAAATTCGAACTAACGGAGCGCTAGTGTAGTGCCTATGAAAGTTAGTTCGAACTAACGTCCGTTAGTTCGAACTAACTTTGTAGTGTAGACATACCCTCAGGTAGCATCCCCACCCCACAGGGCACATGTTGCCAAGACTTCCCCTAATTTGAGGCAGCGCCGAGACAGCAGGAGTAGGTCAGCTCCCATACATGCACATGCAGGAGCCGTCCTGCTCTTAACTGCTGTCCTGGTGGTGCCCCAACTTTTCAGGTGCCCTACGCACTCGTGTAATTTGTGTATGTGTAGAGACAGCCCTGCCTCCTTTTATATAGTGAGCATGGCTGAAAATGAGAGAGACTTGCTCTTTGAGCGATGGTCCCTGTGTGTATTCCACACGAGGTATGTTGTTCTTTAAGATGTGCGATATTGCACGCGTGGTATGCATGTGCACCGTACACATGAGATAGTTAGTGAGCTGTGCCCATTTGTCTGCACATGGACAGTTCTCCTTGTGCTCTGCACTAAAGGTAAAGGGTGGTCTGGATTGATGCCTCTCCAGTTTCTTCTTGGTGCAGCATGAATTGAGTAAGAATCTTCTGTGTCTGTAGCGTCTTCCTCAGCTGCCTCATTCTGTAAATACATTATCCATTGTTTTTGGTGTTTTTATCTTTTAAACTTAGTACAGCTTGTAGCTACTCGTTTTTTATCTCACGCTGGGGGAATTCTCCCAGAAGATTGAGATCATGCCCTGAGTCTCGGGTTTCAGGAATTGTTTTTCTGCCTCTGCTTGTTTGCTGTGCATGACAAGCACCAGCACTGCCGCCGCTGGCTAGGCAAAGATCACATGGCAGCTAAAGGCAGCATTTGCTACTCCTTAGCTCCCAGAACTCAGGACCTAGGACTTCAAAATCTTATGAGGAGAGCCATGAGACAGCTGCATTACAGGGAGGTCACCCTGTGTGTTGGCCACATCCACAGGCAGCGCGCCTCCGAACATGGGCTCCAACACTGAGCCCGACTTTCAAGCCTTAGGAGAAGGCTTCTCGTGAGAGTAAGAGGAACTCTCATGAGAACTGAGCACAAGCCTCCTTTGTCCAGACCAGCTCTCAAGGGCAAAGACCCCTCTCCAAAGGCAGAGAGCCCTCACACATAGATACTATGGATGTAGGCCCAAGTAAAACTCCAGCAAGTGAATGTGATGAAAGAGGTACAGATGCGTTGGTTCTCATATCGGTTCATACATCTCAAATGCACAACAAACTTTCATAGCCACACTCTTCCATATCTGGGTCAGGGTCAGGATCATAACCATCACTGCCCCACAGGGAGCCAGAGAAGCACTAGATCTCACAGCTCCCCAAAGAGCTCACTTTGTACCTGCGGGCAGTCAGAGACCTGTCTCCCCAAATGCACTTCTGCTCTTTGCCACTTTCGCTCATGCCTCACCTCTGGCCTGCCTTTACTCAGAGACAGAGTTACCCCAAAAGAGGAAGCTCATCTGAGGTTGCAGAACTACCTTCCTCTGCCCTCAGTGACCAGTTCCTGACCAGGGCTACCTCAGTTCCACTAGTAGTCAACAAATCAGGAGCTCCACAGCAGTTTCTGCTTTACCACACACAGGATGGCCTGGGAAAGACGCCGTAGGAGATTTGCGTTCCATCCTCCAGCCAGACATGTCTTGCCAAGAATCAGAGCAGTGCCATGGGGTCCTCCCCTACTGGGTGGTTCCTCACCCTGACACGTCTGGGACCCTTGTAATCCTTACTGTAGGCACCCACGGTCAGTACATGAGCCTTGTTTGCCATCTGCTGACTCACAATTTAAAGGGGCAACTTATTAATCGCTCATCCAGTAATCATTGCCATACTGGCATGCTTATTGGGCTACCCAGTTAACCAGTGCCTGGCTGTGCCAGAGCAGCCCCTGTCTCTGGCCAAGTCAGAGCAGCCCCATAGGGTGGTGGGCCCTGCCTGGACCAGCTGGGCCTGCCATGCTAAGGGCCAGGGGCTGCTTCAGTGACCCTCTACTCACAATGAAATTCAATGGGCAGGTTAATTGATTAAAAAATGTAGCTTCACCAGTTAACATTTTAAATGGGATTTTACATCCCTACTCCTGGCCAACCCCAACCAGTCCCATCCCAGTATTGGGAAGAGGAAGGGTGAATGCGATCTGATGATTCTGGCAGCAATTTCATTGTCTTTCCCAGAAGAAACAATTATCCCATCATTGCCAAATGTACCCTGCTGCCTCAGGCAATATCAGGAACACCTGCAGAGGATAGTGTCTGAGCTGCAGATACATCTTGAAG